GGATCCAACTTGGAGGCAACTTCTATTAACAGTCTTGGGCGCCCAAGTCGGATAGAAGTCGCCTTGAAGTAGTGCAGGAACCTTTTCAAAAGTCGGGGCTGACTTTCAGTAGTGAAATGAAAACTAACATGGGATTTGACATGTCATGCGACTTGGGGGTCTCAAGTCTGATCCCGCCTTGAAGTACTACCGGGAACCTTTTCAAAAGTCGGAGCCACTTCAGTAGTGCAAATCAATGGAATTCGACATGTCATGCAGCGACCTGGGGGTCTCACAAGTCGGATCCTGCCTTGAAATAGTACAGGAACCTTTTCAAAAGTCGGAGCGACTTCAGTTGTTCCAGACATTGTTCAGAAGATCCGGATTAACATGGGATTTGACATGTCATAGGCGGCTTAGGGGTCTCACAAGTTGGATCCCGCCTTGAAATTGTACAGGAACCTTTTTCAAAGGTCGGAGCGACTTCAGTAGTGCAAATCAATGGGGGATTTGACATGTCATGCAACTTGGGGGTCCCACAAGTTGGATTCCGCCTTGAAGTACTACAGGAGCCTTTTCAAATGTTGGAGTGACTTCAGTAGTACAAATCAAGACTAACATGGGATTTGACATGTCATGCGACTATGGGGGTCTCACAAGCAGAGGCACCCCTAGGGTTGGTGTCACCCGGTGCGATAACACTTGGTGACACCCCCCTCCGACGATCCCCGCAGAATGGATCGGATCTGCGGATTGAGCTGATCCATTATGCTCAATCCGCAGATCCGATCCATCCGTCGGCTTTCTTTACAACTTACCTTTTCTTGGAGCGGGTCCGGTGTCCCCCCATATAGGTTACATGCCGACGATCCCCACATATTTTTTTAAAAGTATTAAAAAAATATTTTTTTTAAAATATATTCTTCAGATTTTTTTTTTAACATAGAAAAATGTAATTTTAACATATATTTGTAAATGCATTCCAAAATTGTAGATTAAAATGTGTTTTCAAAGACATTAAAATATATTTTTAAAAATATTTTTAATATATTTTTTAATATTTACAGTTGTGTTGAAAATACTAGCAGTCAGACATCACTAACCGGATCAATCCCTGTTTTTGGTGGAAATGATATTCCTACATGGCAGATAATTTCCTAGCCGGTGTAGTAGAGTAATAGAAATCCAACAGACCCGACAGTCATGACATGCATGCTGCTGATTCTGTGTCATTGAATCACTCATTGAAAGGGGCGTGTTCAAAATAATAGCCGTGTGGAGTTCTATTAGTGAGGTCATTCATTCTTTGAAAAACAGGTGGCAATTATTGCCCTTATTTAAGGAAGGAAGGCAGCAAATGTTGGACATGCTGGTTACAGTGCATTTCTCTCTGAAATTCTGAGGAAAACGGGTCGTTCCAGACATTGTTCAGAAGAACAGCGTACCTTGATTAAAAAGCTGATTGGAGAGGAGAAAACATATAAAGAAGTGCAGAAAATGATCGGCTGCTCAGCTAAAATGATGGCAAATGCTTTAAAATGGCAACCAAAACCTGAAAGACGCGGAAGAAAGCGAAAAACTACCATTGGAATGGATAGAAGAATAGCCAAAATGGCGCGGAGACTCAGCCAACAATCAGCCCCAGGAAGATGAAAGAAGGTGTGACGTTCCCTGTGAGGACTGTTACAATTAGAAGACGCCGATGTGAAGCCAAGCTATCTGCAAGAAGTCCCCGCAAAGTCCCACTGTTGGAAAAAAGGCGTGCTGAAGAGGTTACAATCTGCCAAAGAGCACATTGACTGGCCTAAAGAGGAATGGCGCAACATTTTGTGGACTGATGGAAGTAAGATTGTTCTTTTTGGGTCTAGTGGGCGGAGACAGTTTGTCAGACGACCCCCAAACACTGAATTCAAGCCACAGTACACTGTGAAGACCGTGAAGCATGGTGGTGCAAGCATCATGATATGGGGATGTTTCTCATACTACGGTGTTGGGCCTATTTATCGCATACCAGGGATCATGGATCCGTTTGAATCCATCAGAATACTTGAAGAGGTCATGCTGCCTTATGCTGAAGAGGAAATGCCCTTGAAATGGGTGTTCCAACAAGACAACGACCCCAAACACACCAGTAAACATGCAACATCTTGGTTCCAGACCAACAAGATGGATGTTATGGAGTGGCCAGCCCAATCCCCGGATCTTCATCCAATAGAAAACTTGTGGGGTGACATCAAAAATGCCTTTTCTGAGGCCAAACCAAGAAATAGAGAAGAACTGTGGAATGTGGTCCAATCATCCTGGGCTGGAATACCTGATCACAGGGGCCAGAAGTTGGGGGACTCCATGCAACACAGATGTACAGCAGTTCTCAGAAACAGTGCGACTACAACCAAATATTCATGAAGTCATTCAAAGGAAAGCAAAATCTTCAAACATTTCTCAGTTTATATAGTGAATGTTTGAGTTTGTAAAGAAGAATACAAACACTGCGCGATTTTTTTGAACCGTCTAATATTCACTTTTTCTTCCATTTTTTTAGAGGAACAACACAAATTTGATGTATTTTTCTTCATGTTGTGATTTGGAATAGAATGTGTCGTGTGTCCCAATGCATTTGTGTGGATGGAAAGAAAAGCTATTAGAAGGATTTTCAGCTTTAGTCACTTTTTTCAACTCACTGCTATTATTGTGAACACAACTGTATATAAAAAAAATGCATTTCAACATACAGTATATATTTATTGAAATGTATTTTTGAAATATGTTGAATATGGCCAAAATGATAGAATTTCAAATATATGTCAATATATTCGGGAAGAATATATTTAAAATATATTTTTCTTTCACATGGGTAGTCTAAATATATTGTGGTTTGGTGCTCTTCGTGCTATCTTCTTGTTTCCTGACTCAGATTCTGGGTACCCCCAGTTGAGGTGACCATGTCTGACAAGAACAACCTCACAAGGGACATTGAGCCTTAGAAACAGGGGCTTCCGGCACATTGGGGCATTTTTTATAATTGTGAATGTGTGCATCCAAGTCTTTACAGTTTTTTTGGGGGGGTTTCTGGTGCATTAATTTGATTGTATCTTGCAGAGGCTGCACCTGAGCGAAGACGTGGCTGGGGCAACATTCATGGCAGCAGGGAGCTCGACTCCAGAATTATTTGCCTCCGTTATTGGTAAGTCTTGCCGCTGATTTGCGGTGATATCAGGAGACAATTTAATGATCACTGGAGGTACAAGGAGGAGATGGGAACCCAACATAGCTCATTCTTGGCTCCTGGAATCATGGAGAGCAGCAGATTTGATTTGACTCCACAGCACTGGTGTCCAACCTGTGGCCCAGGGACCATATGGGACCTTCTGATACCCCAGCAGCCGGAGCTTTGGGTTGAATTGGAGTAAAAGCAGTAATCTCTTCTTCCAGCCACATGTAACATGTCCCCCGGTCTCTGGGGCTTTTGTGAACTGTTAGTCCTCACGCACACGGGATGTTTTTTACAGCGGCTCTTTTGGGCTTTTTTTTTCTACAGCCAGTAAACCCCCCAGCATGTTATCCTATGTGTCCATCCCCGGCATGTTATCCTATGTGTCCATCCCCGGCATGTTATCCTATGTGTCCATCCCCGGCATGTTCTCCTATGTGTCCATCCCCGGCATGTTCTCCTATGTGTCCATCCCCGGCATGTTCTCCTATGTGTCCATCCCCGGCATGTTATCCTATGTGTCCATCCCCGGCGTGGACACATAAAAAAAAATAAAATTTTATTTTAAAAAAAAGCAAACGTGGTAAAACGTGGCAAACCAGCATTTTTGGACCTTTTTTTAGCAAAAAAAATATAATTTTTTATTTTAAAAACTGCAAACGCAGTAATACGTGGCAAACCAGCATTTTTGGACTTTTTTTTTTTAGAAAAAAAATGCAAACGCGGCTAAACGCTAATGCAAAAATTATGAAAAACTTGAATTTTTAACGTGATTTTACACAGCTAACGATACCAGCGTTATTAAAAAGCCCTGTGTGCATGGAGCCTGATATCTGCCTGGAATGACACCGAAGCAAATAGAGGCTGTAAAGGCGCAGACAATTCCTGAGCATCCAAAAAGAATCAAAGGGAAGACAATCCAGGGAACACAGCCAGATCCCTGCAAGCTGTACAGTAGGGACCGAGTACATAGAAGAGTGCCCACTGCCCCCTGCTGGGCTGTCTGAATAGGACACATACAGATCATCGCAGCCTGCTGTGCTTGTGACATCACGCGTGGGTCATTAGTACTTCTCTGCTGGAGAGGAATGGGATTTCTTCAAAGGGGAAAAATAAAATGAGCGCTATTATTCACACAAAGGGATATCATTGTGTATGCTTTTACTCTTTGTAAACCAATCCTAATTTTTTTTTGGTGAATTTACAAAGGTTGCTTTTAATGTCTGTAATATCTAGGTTCTCCCCCACTTCTTCTTCCTCTTACCCCCCTCTCCTCCCTCCCTAATCCCTTCCTTCTCCCTTATTTCTCTCTCCCCTTCTCCTGTTCTCCCCTTTACTCCTCCCTTCTCTTTCCCCTACCTTCTGCCCCCTTCTACTTCTCTACCTCTCTGCCTACCCCCCCCCCCACCTCCCCTCCCTTTCACCTCCCTTCTCTCTCTCCTCTTTCCTTTCTTTATCTATCCTTCTCTTTTACACTACCCCTCTCTGATGTGCCGACATACCTGCCTTCTCTCTCTCCCCCTCTCACCCTCTCTTCCCTCACTCCCACTTTCCTTCTCTCTCACTCTTCCCAACCTTTTCCCTTCCCCTAACCCCTCTGTCCTCTACTCTACTTTTTCTCCTCCTTCTTCTTCTTTACCCCTTTTCATCTTCCTTCTCCTTTTCCCTCTTCCTCTTTTTCACTTTTTTTTCCCCCTCTCTTCTACTTTCCCCCTCTCTTCCAATTCTCCATCTCTCCCCCTTCTTCCTCTCTCCCCCTTCTTCCTCTATCTCTCCTCTCCTTCTCACCCCCTTCTCCATCTCCCCCCCCTCCTTCCTCTATTCCATCTCTCTCCATTCTCCTCTCTCTCCCTCTATTCCCTCTCCCTTCCTTTTCCATCTCTCTCCTTTCTCCCTCTACTCTATCCCCCCTTCTTCTTCCTCTATCTCTCCTTCTCTCACCCCCTTTCTCCCTCTTGTCCCTCACCCCCTTCCTCCTCTCTTCCTTCTTTTCTATCTCTCCCCCTTTCACCCTCTGTCCCTTTTCTTGATCTCTCCCTTGTTCTTTCTCTCTCCCCTTCTTTCTCCCCCTATTCCCTCTCTCTTCCTTCTCCCTCTCTCCCTGTTCTTGTTCTTTACCCCTTCTCTCTCCCTTCCTCCCCATTCCTCCCCCTTCTCCCTCCTCTCTCTTCTTCTCTCCCCCTTCTCCCCTCAATCCCCCCACTCTCCCTCTCTCTCCTCCCTTCTTCTTCCCTCCCCCCCTTCTCCTTCCCTCCCTCCTCTCTCCCCTTCTCCCTTTCTCCCCCTTCTTCTTCCCTCCCCCTTCTCCATCTCTCCCCCTTCTCCCTCCCTCCCCCTTCTCCCTCTCCCCCCTTTTTCTTCTCCCCCCCTTCTCCCTCAATCCCCCGTCTCCCTCTCTCTCCCTTCTTCTTCCCTCCCCCTTCTCCTTCCCTCACTCTCTCCCCTTTTCCCTTTCTCCCCTTTCTTCTTCCCTCCCCCCATCTCCTTCTCTCCCCCTTCTCCCTCCCCCCCCCTTCTCCCTCTCCCCCCCCCTTCTTCTTCTCTTCCCCTTTTCCCTCAATTCCCCCGTCTCCCTCTCTCCCCCTTCTTCTTCCCTCCCCCTTCTCCTTTCCCTCCCTCTCTCCCCTTCTCCCCTTACTCCCCCTTCTTCTTCCCTCCCCCCTTCTCCTTCTCTCCCCCTTCTCCCTCCCTCCCCCTTCTCCCCCCATCTCCCCCCTTCTTTCTCTCTCCCCCTTCTCCCCTCAATCCCCTGTCTCCCTCTCTCTCCCTCTCTTCTTCCCTCCCCCTTCTCCTTCCCCTCCCTCTCAGGGTCTCCCCTTCTCCCTTTCTCCCCCTCTTCTTCCCTCCCCCTTCTCCTTCTCTCCCCCTTCTCCCTCCCTCCTCCTTCTCCCTCTCCCCCCTTCTTCTTCTCTCCCCCCCTTCTCCCTCAATCCCCCTTCACCCTCTCTCCCCCCTTCTTTCTCTCTCCCCCATTCTCTCTCTTTCCTCTTCCCACTTTTTCCTTCTCACACCCCTTCTCTCCCTCTCTCCCCCATCTCCCTTTCCCCTCTGTCTTCCTTTCCCCCCCTTCTCTCTCCCTCTTCTCTCCCCCGTCTCTATTTTCCCTCCGTCTTCCTCTCCCCCCCTTCTCTCTCCCTCTCTCCCCCCCATCTCCATTTCCCCTCTCTTCTTCCTCTCTCCCCCCTTCTCCCTCTCTCCCTATTATGCCTCTTTTTTTACCTCCCTCACTTTCTCCCTCTCTCCTCCCCCATTAGGAGTATTTATCACGCACGGTGACGTCGGTGTCGGGACCATTGTTGGTTCGGCTGTTTTCAACATTCTCTGTATAATTGGAGTTTGTGGCGTCTTTGCTGGGCAGGTAAGATGTCTGTCTCTCGTCTCTCTCTTGTTATAAGACACGCCCTCATCGATTTCACCCAAAAAGTAGAAAAAAGAGAATAAAGTTCCTTCTCGATCGCCAGAGATGACCAGGAACCTCACTGGACCAACATCCTACAATGTAACGTCTGATCCCTATTAGTGGCCATTTATATTTCGTGTACATGGAAACATCTCCCCCCCCTTCTGTGAAGTGTGCCACTGAGCTGTCTACAGCCAGATCCACACTTTACAGCTCTTACTGCAAAAAATCCTTCCTGTATGTTCCCTCAGCATAAAAAGTGCCCTTCTGTCCCTGGGGGTGTCCTTAAAGTGAACACCTGTCTACTGAGTTTACAATATTGGCCATTTATGTATTTAAAAAAAAAGAATAAAAGTTCACTATGTATGAAGAAAGAATCTTTTTTTCCGGATGCCAACGCTCTAGTCTCCCGTTATTAGAGATTCAGACCAATCTTTAGCTTTGCAGTGAATGTTGTGATTGTCGGCCGGCCCCAGGTCTGTTCCCTCAATCTTAGCAGAGAAGTTTTCTAAAGATGTTTTAATCGACACGAACTTTCCAGAAAAGTCCATTTATTTCTCAGCAATATCTGATGTATGATTTTTATTTGCCCAAAATGTGAAATTATACTTTACCCCCCCCCCCCCCCTTTTAGTTTTATATTGGATAAGGCCAAAGCTGAAAAATGGTCTATGAATAAATATACAAATGGGGGTGGGGGTCTGCTTGGAATATTTTTGTTACAGAAAGAGATTTAATCTCAAAATACGGAAAGGTTTCTTCACAGTGAGAGCTGTGAGAATGTGGAATAGACTCCCTCCAGAGTTGGTTGTGGCCAGCTCAGTGGATTGCTGTAGGAAAGTCCTGGATTCTTTCTTGGATACACAGAATATAACTGGATATAACATGTATAGGGAAAGTTGATCCAGGGAATATCCGATTGCCTCTCGGGGGGTCAGGAAGGAATTTTTTTTCCCTGCAGGAGCAAATTGGATCGTGCTTTGCTGGGTTTTTTTGCCTTCCTCTGGATCAACTGTGAGATTTTTTGTGGTTGAACTGGATGGACTTTTGTCTTTTTTCAGCCAGACTAACTATGTAACTAACTACAGTATATGTAACTATGTAGCAAAATAAAACCCCAAAACAAAAACAGTAATGATGTGAAAAAGAAACAAATGATATTTACAGATATGTATGGAAGACAGCCAGTCCTCTGTCCTCCTCTGCCATTGGGGTGTACAATATATCACACGGCGACTGGGAAATGATCCTCGGTGGTCTCTTCCTGTCTGTCAGTGTATGGTGGGAATAGCACAATGAAATCTGTGGAGGAAAATGTCTTGGAGAATTTTTCTAATTATTTTTTTTGTAGTATCAGATTGTAAAACATTCTTTTAACTCAAATATGTTGTTCTTAATCTCTCCTCCGTCCCCTCCTCTATTTCTGTGATCCTCCCCCCATCCCCCCCCTCTCTGTCTCTCTCTCCCTGTTCCCCCTCTTTGCTCATTGCTCCCCCCCTATTTCTGTCCCATCATCTCCACTTTTCTTTATATCCCCCTCTTTCTTCCTTTCCCCCCCATTCATTCCCCCCATTTCTCTTCCCACCCTATTACCTGCTCCCCCCTCTCTTTCCACCTCTTTCTGTCTCCATCTTCCACTTTCTCTCCCCCCCCCTTCCCATCCTTTTATCCCCCCTTTACTTCACCTTTTTTTTTTATCTGCCCCCCCCCCCCATTTTTTTTCCCTTCCACCCCCCTCTCTTTATCCCCCTCATCTCTATGTCTCTCCCCCCCTCCCTGTTCACTTTCTCCCCCATTGATACCCCCTCCCCTCTATGTTACCCTCTATTTCTTTCCCTTTTCTCCCTCCCTACTTCATCCCCACTCTTTTTCTCCTCTTTTCTCCCCCCATCCCTCTCCCTACTCCCCACTCTATCCTCTTTCCATATCACCCCCCCCCCCCATCTCTCTCCCTACTCCCACACTGTCCTCTTTCCATATCACCCCCCCCCCTCCATCCCTCTCCCTACTCCAACTCTGTCCTCTTTCTATCTCACCCCCCCCCCCCATCCCTCCCCCCATACTCCTCTGCCTACTCCAACAACTCTGTCCTCTTTCCATCTCACCCCCCCCCCATCTCTCTCCCTACTCCCACACTGTCCTCTTTCCATATCACCCCCCCCCCCCTCCATCCCTCTCCCTACTCCAACTCTGTCCTCTTTCTATCTCACCCCCCCCCCCCCCCCCCATCCCTCTGCCTACTCCAACTCTGTCCTCTTTCCATCTCACCCCCCCATCCCTCTCCCTACTCCCACTCTATCCTCTTTCCATCTCACCCCCCCCTCCCCATCCCTCTTCCTACTCCCACTCTATACTCTTTCCTTCTCACCTCCCCCCCATCCCTCTCCCTGCTCCCACTCTATCCTCTTTCCATCTCACCCCCCCCCCCCTCCCCATCCCTCTTCCTACTCCCACTCTATCCTCTTTCCATCTTACCCCACCCCCCATCCCTCTCCCTATTCCGACTACGTCCTCTTTCCATCTCACCCCCCCCATCCCTCTCCCTACTTCCACCCTATCCTCTTTCCATCTCATCTCACCCCCATCCCTCTCCCTTCTCCCACTCTTCCTTTTTTCTCTCTCCTCTGTCCCTCTCCCCTCTCTCTACTCTCTGTTCCTCTCCCTTAACCCCCCTCAGGTTGTCCGACTGACGTGGTGGTCTTTATTCCGTGACTCCATGTACTACATCCTAGCAATAATAGCGCTGATCATTGTAAGTAAGATGACATTGGCTGACATTGTCCCTGGGCCCCTGACCTCAGTGGGCCCCCCAATAACTAATGACCCCTTATATTTTCATCTGGGTGTTAAATATGTATTCTCTGTACATTCCCTACACATTCTTTTTACATTCACCTTTCCCTTCACACTCCCTACACATTCCTTACACGTTCCCTTTCCCCTTTCCTTAAATCGGTATTGAACCCAAAAACAAACATTTATTATATTGTAATTTACCAATTCTTAGATGTGGTGTCTGCATTAGTTTTCTCTTTTAGGCTTTCTCTCCTTTATTTTCCCACAGCACGTCCTGTGCTCCCTCCTTAGTATGAGGTCTCCCACTGCCGCACATCCTACACTCCCCCGTAGTATGAGATCTCCCACAGCACATCCTACACTCCACCCTTAGCATGAAGTCACCCGCAGCACATCCTGCACTCCCCCCCCTTAGTATGAGATCTCCCACAGCACATCCTGCACTCCCCCCCTTAGTATGAGATCTCCCACAGCACATCCTGCACTCACCCCCCCTTAGTATGAGGTCATCCGCAGCACATCCTGCACTCCCCCCTTAGTATGAGATCTCCCGCAGCATGTCCTGCACTCCCCCTTAGTATGAGATCTCCCACAGCACATCCTGCACTCACCCCCTTAGTATGAGGTCATCCGCAGCACATCCTGCACTCCCCCCTTAGTATGAGATCTCCCGCAGCATGTCCTGCACTCCCCCTTAGTATGAGATCACCCGCAGGACTTCCAGCGCTCCCTCCTTAGTATGAGATCTCCCGCAGCATGTCCTGCACTCCCCCTTAGTATGAGATCTCCCGCAGCACATCCTGCACTCCCCCTTAGTATGAGATCTCGCCCAGTGCATCCTGCGCTCCCCCCTTAATTTGAGATCTCCTGCAGCACGTCTTACGCTCCCCCCCTTAGTATGAGATCTCCCGCAGCACATCCTGCACTCCCCCCTTAGTATGAGATCTCCCGCAGCACATCCTGCACTCCCCCTTAGTATGAGATCTCGCCTAGTGCATCCTGCGCTCCCCCCTTAATTTGAGATCTCCTGCAGCACGTCTTACGCTCCCCCCCTTAGTATGAGATCTCCCGCAGCACATCCTGCACTCCCCCCCCTTAGTATGAGATCTCCCGCAGCACATCCTGCACTCCCCCTTAGTATGAGATCTCGCCCAGTGCATCCTGCGCTCCCCCCTTAATTTGAGATCTCCTGCAGCACGTCTTACGCTCCCCCCCTTAGTATGAGATCTCCCGCAGCACATCCTGCACTCCCCCCTTAGTATGAGATCTCCCGCAGCACATCCTGCACTCCCCCTTAGTATGAGATCTCGCCCAGTGCATCCTGCGCTCCCCCCTTAATTTGAGATCTCCTGCAGCACGTCTTACGCTCCCCCCCTTAGTATGAGATCTCCCGCAGCACATCCTGCACTCCCCCCTTAGTATGAGATCTCTTGCAGCACGTACTGCACTCCCCCCTTAGTATGAGATCTCCTGCAGCACGTTCTGCGCTCCCCCGTTAATATGAGATCTCCCGCAGCGCAGCCTGCACTCCCCCTTAGTATGAGATCTCCTGCAGCATGTCCTGCACTCCTCTTTTAGTATGAGATCTCCTGCAACACGTCCTGCGCTCTCCCTTAGTATGTGATCTCCCGCAGCACGTCCTGCGCTCTCCCTTAGTATGAGATCTCCTGCAGCACGTCCTGTGCTCTCCCTTAGTATGAGATCTCCCGCAGCACGTCCTGCACTCCCCCTTAGTATGAGGTCTCTTGCAGCATGTCCTGAACTCCCCTTTTAGTATGAGATCTCCTGCAGCACGTCCTGCGCTCTCCCTTATTATGTGATCTTCCGCAGCACGTCCTGCACTCCCCCTTAGTATGAGGTCTCCTGCAGCATGTCCTGCACTCCCCTTTTAGTATGAGATCTCCTGCAGCACGTCCTGTGCTCCCCCTTAGTATGAGGTCTCCTGAAGCACGTCCTGCACTCCCCTTTTAGTATGAGGTCTGCTGCTGAAGCCTGTCCTGTGCTCCCCCTTAGTAGGAGGTCACCCGCAGCGCGTCCTGCGCTCCCCCTTAGTATGAGATCTCCCGCAGTGGGTCCTACGTTCCTCCTTACTATGAGATTTCCTGCAGCGTGTCCTTCTCTCCCCCTTAATATAAGATCTCCCACAGCGCGTCCTGCGCTCCCCCTTAGTATGAGATCTCTTGCAGTGTGTCCTGCGCTCCCCCTTTATATGAGATCTTCCACAGCACGTCCTGCACTCCCCCCTTAGTATGAAATTTCCCGCAGCAGATTTTCATGAATAAATAAAACCTGTTACCTACACAAACCAGAATTATTTTATGCACAAAAAGCCAAAACTATGTGCAGAAAACGCAGCATTCTGTCCCTCCCACCCAACCATGGATGAGTCACAGCCTGCATCAAAGAGCAGCTCCATCAAACCAAACACGCAGCCTGAGCGAGAAGCCACAGACGGAAGCTGTCATTCACTGTGTGAACAGTCATTTCCCAGGAATGAATGTTAAGGCTTTAATACATTATGATGCAGCTGAAGATCGTACAAAGTCATAGTAAAAGAGAAAAATGTGCGCAGCCTGGACATATGCTTGTGACATTCGCCCAACAAAGATTTCATACATAGACCCCTTAGCGTCTTTTTACTAATTCATAGGTCAGATCATAGTATCTGATTCTGCGAAGAAACATTTGATCAGATTGTTACATATATGGACACTGTTAGTACACTGATCAAAAAAATAAAAGGAAGATTTTTCAAGTCAATGATGCTAGACTCTTCCTCCTGCCCCACTAAACCCCGGACCCTGCATTCACTATATCCGCTCTCCCCGGACCCCTCATTCACTATATCCGCTCTCCCCGGACCCCGCATTCACTATATCCGCTCTCCCCGGACCCCGCATTCACTATATCCGCTCTCCTCGGACCCCGCATTCACTATATTTGCTCTCCCCGGACCCCTCATTCACTATATCCGGTCTCCCCGGGCCCCGCATTCACTATATCCGCTCTCCCCGGACCCTGCATTCACTATATCCGCTCTCCCCGGACCCCGCATTCACTATATCCGCTCTCCTCGGACCCCGCATTCACTATATCCGCTCTCCCCGGACCCCTCATTCACTATATCCGGTCTCCCCGGGCCCCGCATTCACTATATCCGCTCTCCCCGGACCCCTCATTCACTATATCCGCTCTCCCCAGACCCTGCATTCACTATATCCGGTCTCCCCGGACCCCACATTCACTATATCCGCTCTCCTCGGACCCCGCATTCACTATATCCGCTCTCCCCGGACCCCGCATTCACTATATCCGCTCTCCCCAGACCCCGTATTCACTATATCCGCTCTCCCCGGACCCTGCATTCACTATATCCGCTCTCCCCGGACCCCGCATTCACTATATCCGCTCTCCCCGGACCCCGCATTCACTATATCTGCTCTCCCCGGACCCTGCATTCACTATATCCGCTCTCCCCGGACCCCGCATTCACTATATCCGCTCTACCAAGACCCTACATTCACTATATCCGCTCTCCCCGGACCCCGCATTCACTATATCCGGTCTCCCGGACCCCGCATTCACTATATCCGGTCTCCCCGGACCCCGCATTCACTATATCCGCTCTTCCCAGACCCCGCATTCACTATATCTGGTCTCCCCGGACCCCGCATTCACTATATCCGCTCTTCCCAGACCCCGCATTCACTATATCTGCTCTCCCCAGACCCTGCATTCATTATATCCGCTCTTCCCGGACCCCGCATTCACTATATCAGGTCTCCCCGGACCCTCTCTAGAAATACACACCAAACCGAGCATGTGCAGAGTGACTCCACACAATACAGTGGATATAAAAAGTCTACACACCCCTGTTCAAATGTCAGGTTTTTGTGATGTAAGAAAATGAGACAAAGAGAAATCATTTTAGAACTTTTTCCACCTTTATTGTGACCTGTTAGCTGTACAACTCAATTGAAAAACAAACTGAAATCTTTTTTTTTTGGGGGGGGGGGGGAGTAAACAAAAAAAACTATAATAATGTGGTTGCATAAGTGTGCACACCCTCTTATAACTGGGGATGTAGCTGTGTTCAGAATTCAGCAATCACATTCAAAATCATGTTAAATAGGAGTCAGTACACACCCGCCATCATTTAAAGTGATGAACCCCAAATAAAGTTTAGCTGTTCTTGTCAGTCTTTCCTGACATTTTCTTAGTTACATCCTACAGCAAAAGCCATGGTCCTCAGAGAGCTTCCAAAGCCTGAAAGGGATCTCATTGTTAAAAGGTATCAGTCAGGAGAAGGGGACAAAGGAATTTCCAAGGCATTAGAACACCATGGAACACAGTGAAGACAGTCATCATCAAGTGGAGAAAATATGGCGCAACAGAGACATCCCCAACAGTGACATCCCCAACAGTGACAACACCAACAGTGACATCACCAACAGTGACACCACCAACAGTGACATCCCCAACAGTGACATCCCCAACAGTGACATCCCCAACAGTGATATCCCCAACAGTGACATCCCCAACAGTGACATCCTCAACAGTGACATCCCCAACAGTGACATCCCCAACAGTGACATCCCCAACAGTGACATCCCCAACAGTGACATCCTCAACAGTGACAACACCAACAGTGACATCCCCAACAGTGACATCACCAACAGTGACAACACCAACAGTGACATCCCCAAGAACTGGACGTCCCTCCAAAATGGATGAAAAGACGGGAAGAAAACTGGTCTGAGAGGTGGCCAAGAGGGCTACAGCAACATGGAAGGAGCTGCAGGAACATCTGGCAAGTCCTGGCTGTGTGGTCCATGTGGCACCAATCTCCCGTATTCTTCATATGTCTGGGCTATGAGGTAGAGGGGCAAGATGGAAGACTTTTCTTATGAAGAAAAGCATCCAAGGTCGGCTAGATTTTGCAAAAACACATGTGAAGTCTCCCAAAAGCATGTGGGAAAATGTGTTCTGGTCTGATGACACCAAGGGTGGACTTTCTGGCCACAATTCCAAAAGATATGTTTGGCAAAAAAACAACACCGCACATCATTAAAAGAACATCATACCAACCATGAAGCATGGTGGTGGCAGCATCATGCTTTGGAGCATGGGCCTGGAACAGGGGCCTTAGTCAAGGTAGAGGGAATTATGAGCAGCTCCAAATTCCGGTCAATATCTGCACAAAACCTTCAGGCTTCTGCTAGAAAGCTGAACACGAAGAGGAACTTCATCTTTCAGCATGACAACCACCCAAAGCATCCATGCAAAGCAACAAAGGAATGGCTTCACCAGAAGAAGATGGAAGGTTTGGATTGGCCCAGCCAGAGCCCAGACCTGAATCCGATGGAAGATCTGTGGGGGGGTCTGAAGAGGGCTGTGCGCAGGAGATGTTCTCTCCATCTGACAGATTTGGAAGTGCGGGCAAATATTGCCAAGTCAGGACTTGCCATGCTAGTAGACTCCTCCCCAAAAAGACTGAGTGCTGGAATCACATCAAAAGGGGCTTCACCAAAGGATTAGTGTAAGGGTGTGTGAACCAGGGGCGGACTGCCCAAGGGCCCAGGGTCAGTAGGGGGCCCCATGAGATGCCCCTGGAACCTTTCATAGGCTTTTTTAGGTGTGGTTTGAGTGTGGGCAAGGACACAGGGGCCCCATGATCCCCTATTGCCCTAGGGCCCCATGAGTTTCATACCAGTTGCCTGGTATGAAAACTTGTGCAACCAGATTATTTTAGTTTTTTATTTTTACTTCCCCCCACCTACACCCTGTTCCAAATTATTATGCAAATGATATTTTTCTCATTTCCCTCAATAATTGATGTAAATATCAGTCGGCAGAATTCTCAGGTTACAACTATAAGAGGACAATTCACATTTTATTGCACAAACCTCCTAATGATAACAGGATTTTTGTTCCGGATTATTCCGCGCAGGAAGTTTCAAAACACTTTAAAGGTTGTAAAGAACTGAAAATTGTCATTTTGTTGTGTTTGCAGCAATTTTGCTGAAATCAAAAGCTATTTCAATCAAACTTTTCCCAACATTGTAACTTTGTAAACATTTGAGGCGGTCACGTTACATTGTAACATAGGAGCCCTTATCTGATAGCAGATCACAAGTCTGGCATCCATTGAACTTGGGAGTTTTTGGACAGTTTCTGCTGGAATTTGTTTGCAAGATGTCAGAATAGCCTCCCAGAGCTGCTGTTTGGATGTAAACTGCCTCCCACCCTCATAGATCTTTTGCTTGAGGATGCTCCAAAGGTTCTCAATAGGATTGAGGTCAGGGGAGGATGGAGGCCACACCATGACTTTCTCTCCTGTTAGCCCCATAGCAGCCATTGATGCAGAGGTATTCTTTGCAGCATGAGATGGTGCATTGTCATGCATGAAGATGATTTTATTACGGAAAGCATAGTTCTTCCTTCTGTACCAGGGAAGAGAGTGGTCAGTCATAAACTCCACATACTTTGCAGAGGTCATCTTTACACCTTCGGGGCCCCTAAAGAGGCCGACCAGCTCTGTTCCCATGATTCCGGCCCAAAACATGACTCCACCACCGCCTTGCTGACGTCACAGCCTTGTTGGAACAGGGTGGCCGTCCACCAACCATCCACTACTCCATCCATCTGGACCATCCAGGGTTGCACGGCACTCATCAGTGAACAGGACTGTTTGAAAATTAGTCTTCATGTATTTTTCTGCCCAATGCAGCCGTTTCTGCTTGTGAGCATTGGTTAGTGGGGGGGCCGAATAGAAGGTTTCTGCACAGTTGCAAGACTCTGGAGGACTCTACACCTTGATGTCCGTGGGACTCCAGAGGCACCAGCAGCTTCAAATATCTGTTTGCTGCTATGTAATGGGATTTTAGCAGCTGCTCTCTTGATCCGATGCATGGATCTGGCAGAAATCTTCCTCAATGTGCCTTTATCTGCACCAACCCGTCTGTGCTCTGAATCAGCCACAAATCTCTTCATAGTGCGATGATCACGCTTAGGTTTTCGTGAAATATCGAATGTTTTCATCCCTCGTCCAAGACATCGAACTATTTCACTCTTTTTCGGCAGCAGAGAGATCCTTTTTCTTCCCCATATTGCTTGAAAATGGCGCTCTGCTTAATAATGTGGAACGCCGTCCTTTAGTAGTTTTTCCTGAAATTGGGCTCACCGGCCAATCTAATTATCACAGGTGTCCCAGATTGTTTTCAGTGATCAAAAGAGCCCTGACACACAAATGCCATCCATGAGTTACACTGAAAAACAAACTATTTCATCTTTGTGACACTTAAATAGAATTTGCAGAATAATTTGGAACGCGGTGTAATAGATTTCAGTTTGTTTTTCAGTTGTACAGTTTATAGGTCACATTTACCCCAGGCTCACATCTGTGCAGGCGGTGCCGCTGTGGATCCGCAACGAAAATCTGTGCAACCGCACCACCCGCACAGAGAATTGCGGACCCGATCCGCGGGTGGGTGTCATTAATTCTAATGGCACGCCGCCCGCACTGGGAAAGGCAACCGTACTGGGAACCTCGGCTGCGTTTTCCAAAGTAGTGCAGGGACTTCTTCCCTGCGTGTCACAGGCACAGGAGTCCATTCAAATGAATGGGCTCTCGGCCCCGAGCAAAACGTGGCCCACGCGGCCGCATAGGTGTGAACCGGGGGCAAAGGTGGAAAAAGTTCTGAAATTATTGATCTTTTTTACATCGCAGAAACCTGATATTTTACCCGGGGCGTGTAGACTTTTTATTTCTTATCAGGAAATAAGAGGGCGGACAGTAGAAGAAGGGGAGGATCAGAGAAGACAGGATCAAACAGCCTTTTTACAGAACGCGGACGATTAACCCCTTAGGTCCCACAGTGAGTAGAACAAGCATGCTTTATCGCATCTACAGACCGATTGGACAGATGTGGGTTTAGGAACACTTTTGTTGAACAAGTCAGAAGCTGATTGGCTGCCATGCACAGCTGCACCAGATTCTGAGCGCTCCGGTGTTAGTAAATCTAGGACGGCCGTACAGGATGAGATCGACGCTGAGGAGTCTTGGTTTCAGCAGGACGCATCGAACGTTTGTATGTCTCTATAAATATGAACTACAATTAGACCTCAGTCCTTCCATTACGGGGGGCTGACATTGGAAGGTGACAGGTTCTCTTTGTAATGTGTTCAGCGGGGGATACAACTCTGACCACCTGTATTAACATTCACCCTGTTTTTCTTCTCTTGCAGTTCATTTATGATGAAGTCATAGTCTGGTAAGTCTCCTATAGTAGAGGCCCCCAGATGTCGGTACAATGATCCCCCCCCCGTGGAGGGGGGGAGGGGCAGATCTGACCCCTACTACGGGTCCTTTCTCCTATCACAGAACACTGGGCTGCAAACGTTTCCATAAACTGGCTATTTTCAAAGTTGTCACCAAAACAGGAAAAAATGGGGGAAATCTTCAAGTACCCCCTATTCCGGGGTGACCAACAGCAGAATCGCCCACTTTGGGGAGATCGACTTTTTCTTCCTGTTGGTTCACTAGGACAGCATCATAACACATAGGTGTGAACACCGCCTTAGGCCGCCCATACACGGGTCAATTTCCAAACGATTTGTCATTCAAAAAATTGGACCTAAGAATAACACTGTTCAACAGGTAAAAAGTTTTGGGCATAAAATTAGCTAATCTTACATAATTTTGGGGTGCTGACAATGAAAATGACCCTAAAAAATGTTGATTGGCTCTAGTTTCCATGATATATTCACCCATCTAATGACGTAAAGCCATTCAAAATTATGATGCAACTTCAGCTGCATATTGCGCAATTGATACTGGTGACCAATAGAAAATGTCATGTATACTGAGATGATGCAATATTAGCCTTTAATTGCATCACTTCACTGCATAAAAGCTGCAGTATCTGTAGCTGATTGGAGTTCGTCTTTACATTTCGTTTTATGCTTATATAGGCTACTCAGTAATGCCTCGAACTTGTGTGAATAAAGCAGATAATTTCTGCTATATCTGCGGTGAAATAACTTTTATCTCACAAAAAAGGAGGATAACAGGAATGATTAAGAAAGCCTACAACTTGTATTTTGGCTGCAAGATAGGAGACCAGGACAAGAGCTGGGCACCACATATATGCTGCAATTCTTGTGGGACGGCACTGGAGCGATGGTTGAATGGAAAAAAAGGCATCTATGCCTTTCGCTGTGCCAATGATTTGGAGAGAGCCAACAGATCATGTTAGTAATTGTTACTTTTGTATGGTGCCTCCAATTGTAAAAGGGCTAAATAAGAAGAAAAAGTTATCTGTGCACTATCCAAATATTCCATCGGCAATACGTCCAGTTCCTCATGGAGAGGGGCTACCAATTCCTAAAGCACCAGAATCCTTCGTGGTTGAGTCAAGTGAGGAAGAACCTGAAGCGTGTAGTCACGTGCAGTTGTCAGAGATAGCCCTTTCCTCGAATACAAGAGAAAAGCCAAGAGAAGCAAAACCGACACAAACTGAAGACAAAACTAGTGAGAATCCTAAGTATTTAAAAATGATTCAACTTAGCTTATGGCTATAATTTTTCTTGGTAATCCTATGCAATATATTATGCCATTTAGGCTTTGTTATGTAGTCAATATCACTTGCTTTATATTTGTGGAAAGACATCTATCTATATAATTATTGTGCATTATGTAGTCATTACGCCTATAGTAGAAAACTTTCCCGTTTTACAGAAAAACTAGAGCCAATTGACAAATTTCATTGTTATATTTGAACTCAGAATGTGAAATTCATTAAGAAATGGATCCTTTTGTTTCCAAAACTGGCAAAAAATAAAAAATTTGTTGAACAGTGTAATCGGGCCCGATTTTCGCTCTGTTGGGGGGCAATGGCATTGGCCGATTTTCATGGTTCCTCCCCATTTCGGTGATCCGGCATGCTGGAAAATTTGTGAAACACGACCAATTTTCTAAAATCATTGGTGACACCTTCGAATGACAGAACGAACGATGTTTTCGATTTTTGGTCAAAAAATTGTTCGGAATTCGATCCATGTATGGCCTGCTTATGGCTCCACGCACACGGGCCGTTCTAATAACGCTGGTAACGTTAGCTGTGCAAAGTCACGTTAAAAGCGTCAGTTTTCCAGCGTTTTTATATTAGCGTTTTGCCGCATTTTTCGTGTTTTTGTTCGCGTTTGAGGTTATTTTTGGTCATAAAAATGTCGAAAAACGCCGATTTACAGCATTTTACCGCGTTTTGCCAGTGTTAGAGAGTGTTTTTGCAGCATTTTTGTATTAGCACTTCGTTTTGTGTTTTTTTCACGTTTCTGTTTTTTAGATTTTTTTTTTCCTACCTGTAAATTTTTTTTTTCTAGTAAAAAAAAGTCCAAAAACACTGGTTTGCCGCGTTTTGATGCGTTTTTCAGCATTAGAGCGTTTTTACAACTAAAAGGCTCCTCTAGAAGCCCACTAGTTCTGGGTTTTTTCCAGCCAAAAAACATTGATTCCAGTCTGTGTGTGTATGGACCGGGGCGGACTGACCATTTGGAAACTTGGGCACTGCCCGAGGGCCCGGGGGTCAGTAGGGGGCCCCATGAGATGCCCCTGGTACTTTTTTCATAGGCTTTTTTGAGTTTGGGCAAGGACACAGGGGCCCCATGATCCCCTATTGCCCGGGGGCCCCATGAGTTGTCAGTCCGCCCCTGTACTAGTGTTATCAAAACGTCCCCCCCAGTGTGCATGAGGACTGAAACCTGGAAGCTGATTGGTTGCTCTGCAGAGCTGCACCAGATTTTGCACCCTCCAGCTTTAGGCTCCACGTCACGTTAAAAACCTATATATTCAGTTTTTTTTAGCGTTTTTGTATTAGCGTTTCACCCATGTTTTTTCACGTTTTCATTTTTAAAAAAATGTTTTTTTACCCAAAAAAATATTTTTTTGGTCATAACGCCCACAAACACTGGTTTGCCGCAGTTTAATGCGTTTTGCCGCGTTTTTTCAGCATTAAAGCGTTTTTAGGCCTCCTGCACACGGGACGTTTTTACAGCGCCTGTTTTTGGCTTTTGATGTTTTTTTTTCTACAGCTAGTAAACCCCCCAGCATGTTATCCTCGGTGTCCATACACACATACAGGTGAAACTCGAAAAATTAGAATATGGTGCAAAAGTTCATTTATTTCAGTGCAGCAACGTAAAAGGTGAAACTAATATATGAGACTCATTACATGCAAAGCAAGATAGTTCAAGCCGTGATTTGTCATCATTGTGATGATTATGGTTTACAGCTCATGAAAACCCCAAATCCACAATCTCAGAAAATGAGAATATTCCATGCAATCAATAAAACACGGATTGTACATAGAACAATATCGCACCTCTGAAAAGTAGAAACTGCATATGTACTCAGTACTTGGTTGGGGCCCCTTTTGCAGCAATTACTGCCTCAATGCGGCGTGGCATGGAAGCTATCAGCCTGTGGCACTGCTGAGGTGTTATGGAAGACCAGGATGCTTCCATAGCGGCCTTCAGCTCTTCTGCATTGTGCGGTCTCATGTCTCTCATCTTTCTCTTGGCAATGCCAAGGTCAGGCGAGTTTTCTGGCCAATCAAGCACAGTAATCCCACGGTCATTGAACCAGGGTTTGGTGCTTTTGGCAGTGTGGGCGGTGCCAAGTCCTGCTGGAAAATGAAGTCAGCGTCCCCATAAAGCTGGTCTGTGGAAGGAAGCATGAAGTGCTCCAAAATCTCCTGGTAGGTGGCTGCGTTGACCCTGGACTTAATGAAGCACAGTGGGCCAACACCAGCAGATGACATGGCTCCCCAAATCAACACAGACTGTGGAAACTTCACACTGGACTTCAAGCATCTTGCAGTGTGTGCCTCTCCATTCTTCCTCCATACTCGGGGTCCTTGTGCCTCTCCATTCTTCCCCCATACTCGGGGTCCTTGTGCCTCTCCATTCTTCCTCCATACTCGGGGTCCTTGGGCCTCTCCATTCTTCCTCCATACTCGGGGTCCTTGGGCCTCTCCATTCTTCCTCCATACTCGGGGTCCTTGTGCCTCTCCATTCTTCCTCCATACTCGGGGTCCTTGGGCCTCTCCATTCTTCCTCCATACTCGGGGTCCTTGGGCCTCTCCATTCTTCCTCCATACTCGGGGTCCTTGGGCCTCTCCATTCTTCCTCCATACTCGGGGTCCTTGTGCCTCTCCATTCTTCCTCCATACTCGGGGTCCTTGGGCCTCTCCATTCTTCCTCCATACTCGGGGTCCTTGTGACTCTCTATTCTTCCTCCATACTCGGGGTCCTTGTGCCTCTCTATTCTTCCTCCATACTCGGGGTCCTTGGGCCTCTCCATTCTTCCTCCATACTCGGGGTCCTTGGGCCTCTCCATTCTTCCTCCATACTCGGGGTCCTTGTGCCTCTCCATTCTTCCTCCATACTCGGGGTCCTTGGGCCTCTCCATTCTTCCTCCATACTCGGGGTCCTTGTGCCTCTCCATTCTTCCTCCATACTCGGGGTCCTTGTGACTCTCTATTCTTCCTCCATACTCGGGGTCCTTGTGCCTCTCCATTCTTCCTCCATACTCGGGGTCCTTGGGCCTCTCCATTCTTCCTCCATACTCGGGGTCCTTGGGCCTCTCCATTCTTCCTCCATACTCGGGGTCCTTGTGCCTCTCCATTCTTCCTCCATACTCGGGGTCCTTGGGCCTCTCCATTCTTCCTCCATACTCGGGGTCCTTGTGCCTCTCCATTCTTCCTCCATACTTGGGGTCCTTGGGCCTCTCCATTCTTCCTCCATACTCGGGGTCCTTGGGCCTCTCCATTCTTCCTCCATACTCAGGGTCCTTGTGCCTCTCCATTCTTCCTCCATACTTGGGGTCCTTGGTTTTCAAATGAGATGCAAAAGTTGCTCTCATCAGAAAAGAGGACTTTGGACCACTGAGGACAGACCAGGTCTGTTTCCTTTAGCCCAGGTAAGTGGATAGGCAGGGGACGCTTCTGACGTTGTTTGTTGTTCAGGAGCGGCTTGACAAGAGGAATACGACATCTGAAGCCCATGTCCAGGATCCATCTGTGTGTGGTGGCTCTTGATGCGCTGACTCCAGCCTCAGTCCACTCCTTGTGAAAGTCCCCAACACTTTTGAATGGCCTTTTCCTGACAATCCTCTCCAGGCTGCGGTCATCCCTGCTGCTTGTGCACCTTTTTCGTCCACACTTTTCTCTTCCACATAACTTTCTATTAATGTGCTTTGATACAGCACTTTGGGAACATCCAACTTCTTCTGCGACTTTCCCTCCTTATGGAGGGTGTCAGTGATGGTGTCAGGTCAGCAGTCTTTCCCATGATTGTGATTCCTACTGAACCAGACTGAGAGACCATTGAAAGGCTCAGGAACCCTTTGCAGGTGTTATGGCTGAATGAGCTGATTAGAATGGGACACTTTGAGCCGAGATTATTCCACCTTTTCACAATATTCTCATTTTCTGAGGTTGTGGATTTGGGGTTTTCATGAGCTGTAAGCCATAATCATCACAATGATGACAAATCACGGCTTGAACTATCTTGCTTTGCATGGAATGAGTCTCATATATTAGTTTCACCTTTTAAGTTGCAGCACTGAAATAAATGAACTTTTGCACCAGATTCAAATTTTTCGAGTTTCACCTGTAGACCGGAATCAACGTTTTTTGGCTGAGAAAATCCAGGACTAGTGGGATTCTAGAGGAGTTTTTAGCTGTAAAAAACGCTCTAACGTTGAAAAACCTGGTAAATCGATGCAAACTGACGTTTTTGGACTTTTTTTGACCTAAAATGTTATTTTTATTTTAAACTGCTAAATACCGCAAACGCCGCTAAACACTAATGCAAAAATGCTAAAAAAAAAGCTGAAAAAAAACTCACATTTTTAACATTTCCAGCGTTATCAAAACATCCCGTGTGCATGAGGGATAAAACCTGGAAGCTGATTGGTTGCTATGCTGAGCTGCACCAGATTTTGCACCCTCCAGCTTTAGCGCCCGGTCACACCGTTACGATTTCAGGTGCGATTGGCGAATTGAAATCGCGTCTATTGAATGGAAAGGTCGGCATCTTAACACGTGCGATTCGCTGCGGCGCGATTTCTCAAGTAGTTCTTGCGTGACTTTTGTTGTGATTTCACATACATAGAATAGAATGGAAATCACACTGAAAATTGTAAGAAATCGCTGAAAATCTTTGCAAGTCGCAGTAAAGGCTTCAGAAATGGCGCACGAATGGCGCGATGTCAAATCTCAGCGGTGTGACTGGGGACTTAGTAGGTGAACCCCCATCAGTGTATATAATGTGATTGTTCCTCGCTCACATTGATGATGATTGTTTCTGATTGGCAGGTGGGAGAGTCTCATCCTCATCATTATGTATCTCATCTACATCCTGATAATGAAGTAAGTTCTTTTATATAAAGTAGAATTCCTGCCGAACTATAAGTCCCCTCCCCCCCTCCTGCTACCTGTGCTGCCTACCCCATGTGATAAAGACCCTTGTACTTACCTTTTGTCAGCCCGCTTCGGCCCAGTCACGTGGTCCTGCAGGTCTGCCTCCTCTGTGTCAGTGAGCCGCTGCTGCAGGGGAGAGGAGGGAGTGCTGACAACGGCTGAGACATGGAAGTCTATGGGTGACATCACAGCTCCAGCAGTTGTAGAGCGCTGCCTGATGCAGGGGAGATGGAGCAGCAGGATCATGTGACCAGACCGGAGGAGGTAGATGTACACCTGCTGTGCCCATTATGAGGGGTTCCCACCATCCCTGTGCTGAGTTCCCGGGTCTGTACCCCCGCTGTGCCCATTATGAGGGGTTCCCACCATCCCTGTGCTGAGTTCCCAGGTCTGTACCCCCGCTGTGCCCATTATGAGAGGTTCCCACCATCCCTGTGCTGAGTTCCCAGGTCTGTACACCTGCTGTGCCCATTATGAGGGGTTCCCTCCATCCCTGTGCTGAGTTCCCGGGTCTGTACACCCACTGCTTCCATTATGAGGGGTTCCCACCATCCCTGTGCTGAGTTCCCAGGTCTGTACACCTGCTGTGCCCATTATGAGGGGTTCCCACCATCCCTGTGCTTAGTACCCGGGTCTGTAGACCCGCTGTGCCCTTTATGAGGGGTTCCCACCATCCCTGTGCTGAGTTCCCAGATCTGTACACCTGCTGTGCCCATTATGAGGGGTTCCCTCCATCCCTGTGCTGAGGTCTGTACACCCACTGCTCATACCCCTCATAATGGGCACAGCGGGTGTACAGAGCCGGGAACTCAGCACAGGGATGGTGGGAACCCGTCATAATGGGCACAGTGGGTGTACAAACCTGGGAACTGAGCACAGGATGATGGTGGGAACCCCTCATAATGGACGCAGTGGGTGTACAGACCTGGGAACTCAGCACAGGGATCCCTGTGCCCATTATGAGGGGTTCCCACCATCCCTGTGCTGAGTTCCCGGTCTGTACACCTGCTGTGCCCATTATGAAGCTTCGGTTGGAGTTTGGATCTCGTTTCTCTCATCAGGTTGTTCTTCCTCCTTGGATTCGGATAATTCCATAAATATTCCTTGATGACATTTTCTTTTCTATATAAAGTAACTTTTTTCTGGGAATTGTTCTTTGGGGAGGGGGGGGCGGAGCAGGGCGGGGGGGGGGGGGGGGGGGGGTGGGAGGGGGCGATGACATCAGCGAGGAATAGATCTCATGCCGGCCTGGAACCGTAACCGCCGATTATGTCATCACCGCGGGGGTAAGAGGCTTCTCCGGGTTTAATTCTGTGTGGCTAAATCAGCGACCCTTCGTGTGCCGGAGAGCCTTCCAGGACACAGGGGAGAGCCGGATTATACGCAGCACTCTGGAACCTCCCGCCTACACAACGTTCCGTCATTTCCACTTTATATAAGGGGCACTCCATACTACACATACGGGGGCCGTGACTCCCACCCAACATTCACTGTCATACAAAGCACATGCCCCATTGGGATTCACCTGCAAAGAATGTTCGGTGAATGTCAGATCTGCTTTGTGAGCACCAAACCTCTGCAAACCCAGATATTACCTTGTAAAGCAGCAGTGACATCATCAGTGTCCTGTATGTAGGCTTTGCAGAGAGGCTGGCTGTGGGAGGGGCTCAACAGGCTCCACCCACTAAGAAAACTACAGGAGGAGGCGGAGACAAGATCGGTCACCCTGCACAAGGAGAAAGAGCATAGCTGTGGGAGGGGCTCAGCAGGCTCCACCCACTAACAAAACTACAGGAGGAGGCGTAGTTAAGACCGGTCCCCCTATAAGGAGAAAGAGCATAGCTGTGGGAGGGGCTCAGCAGGCTCCACCTACTACAGAAAACTAAAGGAGGAGGCGGAGACAAGGCCGGTCACCCTGCACAAGGAGAGTAGAGCATAGCTGTGGGAGGGGCTCAACAGTCTCCACCCACTACAGAAAACTACAGGAAGAGGCGGAGTTAGGACCGGTCACACCCTGCACAAGGAGAAAGAGCATAGCTGTGGGAGGGGCTCAACAGGTTCCACCCCACTAAGAAAACTACAGGAGGAGGCGGAGACAAGATCGGTCACCCTGCACAAGGAGAAAGAGCATAGCTGTGGGAGGGGCTCAGCAGGCTCCACCCACTAACAAAACTACAGGAGGAGGCGGAGTTAAGACCGGTCCCCCTATAAGGAGAAAGAGCATAGCTGTGGGAGGGGCTCAGCAGGCTCCACCTACTACAGAAAACTAAAGGAAGAGGCGGAGACAAGGCCAGTCACCCTGCACAAGGAGAGTAGAGATAGCATAGCTGTGGGAGGGGCTCAACAGTCTCCACCCACTACAGAAAACTACAGGAAGAGGCGGAGTTAGGACCGGTCACCCTGCACAAGGAGAAAGAGCATAGCTGTGGGAGGGGCTCTCAACAGGCTCCACCCACTAAGTAAACTACAGGAGGAGGCGGAGACAAGACCAGTCACCCTGCACAAGGAGAAAGAGCATAGCTGTGGGAGGGGCTCAGCAGGCTCCACCCACTAACAAACTACAGGAGGAGGCGGAGTTATGACCGGTCCCCCTATAAGGAGAAAGAGCATAGCTGTGGGAGGGGCTCAGCAGACTCCACCTACTACAGAAAACTAAAGGAGGAGGTGGAGACAAGACTGGTCACCCTGCACAGGGAGAAAGCATAGCTGTGGGAGGGGCTCAGCAGGCTCCACCCACTACAGGCTGCCTAAAGAAAAGTACAGGAGGGGGCGGAGAAAGACCGGTCCCCCTGCACCAGGAGAGAGAGCAGCAGTGAGCGGTCTTTATTACAGGAAGTCTCACCCTGGATGACTGCCCAGATCTGGAAGAAATACACAAATCACAGCGAGATTCAGGAAGGAGACGTGACGATGGAATTAGACATGATTTACTTTCACAGAGTTTAGCTTTAAATTAGAAATAAAGAAAAAACCTGCTGATCTCCTTACACTACTGCCTCTTTGCAGTCATCTCCTGGCTGCACGGCTCTTCTCCGGGCGGACCGAGCCTGCCTAACATGGATTGAAATAACCACATAGAGTCTGCACTGGAAAGCCTATGTGACAGGGTGACAACGCAGGAGCACAGTTGGGAGACAAAGACAAAGAGTTGTCACCCCAATAAAGGAAGGGCCTTCATGGCAGGATCACCACAGATTATTTTTTAATTGAATCTGCAGATTTAAAATATTGAGATTGGCTGGAATGTAGAAGTGACTCTCCCCCTCCCCTGCAGGATATTCAAACTGCCCCCCTCCAGCCACATGCCGCTGCTTTATATCAGTGTGGGTTACACCTGCGTTCCCCCTTCTAGCCCCCGGCAGTGGAGGGGTTTAACAGCGAGCTGCCTGATTAGGATTGGATGTCCTAGCTTCTGAAAGTGTGAGCGCTGCACGCCCCGGCTCCTGAGGGGATAAGCGCTTGTAATCTCTGCCGGCCAATCAGAGGCCAGCGCGTGGGATCACATGATTATTACCAAAGATTACACACATTGTATTCCTGGAGTACGGGATGATCCCCGCCGGTTCTATGGTCCAATGTCTTCCTTCCAGTGTGTGGGATCCAATGTGTCATCCTTCTATCTGTCATCCTTCTATGTATCATCCTTCTATCTGTCATCCTTCTATGTATCATCCTTCTATTGTCATCCTTCTATGTATCATCCTTCTATCTGTCATCCTTCTATGTATCATCCTTCTATGTGTCATCCTTCTATGTATCATCCTTCTATCTATCATCCTTCTATGTATCATCCTTCTATGTATCATCCTTCTGTCATCCTTCTATGTATCATCCTTCTATCTATCATCCTTCTATATATCATCCTTCTATCTGTCATCCTTCTATGTGTCATCCTTCTATGTATCATCCTTCTATCTATCATCCTTCTATCTATCATCCTTCTATGTATCATCCTTCTATCTGTCATCCTTCTATGTATCATCCTTCTATCTGTCATCCTTCTATGTATCATCCTTCTATCTGTCATCCTTCTATGTATCATCCTTCTATGTGTCATCCTTCTATGTATCATCCTTCTATCTATCATCCTTCTATGTATCATCCTTCTATGTGTCATCCTTCTATGTATCATCCTTCTATCTATCATCCTTCTATCTATCATCCTTCTATGTATCATCCTTCTATATATCATCCTTCTATGTATCATCCTTCTTCTGTCATCCTTCTATGTATCATCCTTCTATGTGTCATCCTTCTATTATCATCCTTCTATCTATCATCCTTCTATCTATATATCCTTCTATGTATCATCCTTCTATCTGTCATCCTTCTATGTATCATCCTTCTATCTATCATCCTTCTATATATCATCCTTCTATCTGTCATCCTTCTATCTTATCATCCTTCTATCTCATCCTTCTATGTATCATCCTTCTATCTGTCATCCTTCTATATATCATCCTTCTATCTGTCATCCTTCTATGTATCATCCTTCTATCTTTCATCCTTCTATGTGTCATCCTTCTATGTATCATCCTTCTATCTATATCATCCTTCTATCTGTTCATCCTTCTATATCATCCTTCTATCTGTCATTTTCTATGTATCATCCTTCCTTCTATCCTTCTATATTCATCCTTCTATCTTCATCCTTCTAACATCATCCTTCTATTTCATCCTTCTATGTATCATCCTTCTATCTTCATCCTTCTATATATCATCCTTCTATCTGTCATCCTTCTATTTTCATCCTTCTATTATCATCCTTCTATTCTATCATCCTTCTTCTTCTTCATTCTTCTATTATCATCCTTCTTCTTCATCTTTCTATGTATCATCCTTCTATCTATCATCCTTCTATCTGTCATCCTTCTATGTTTTCATCCTTCTTTTTATTGTCATCCTTCTATGTATCATCCTTCTATTGTCATCCTTCTATATATCATCCT